ATATATATCCCTATATATCTGATATACACTTACTCACCCACCTCGTTAAACAACTTACCCCAGCTGGCACGGGCAGAGAGACCGCAAGCACAGTGAACACGAAGCGCGTGATGATCAGAAACACCAACCGCGCATACAATCCAGGAGGCGAGCACCAATCATCACTTACACCGGACCCCTGCTGCGGGTTACAGATATCTTCGTACAACAGCTGACGAACCTATGAGGGGTTGTAATTGGGTTAAGAGACAATTGTCTGGGTACAAAAACGAATACGGCAATGAGAGAGAGTGGGAGAGGAAGACAGTGCAAATATTCGTACATCAACGTACTTATGAGCAAGACAGTATGTGTAAGTGTCTTCGTATAGTCATTCAAGCAAAGTAGGAGGTTCGGAAATCAACAGATTGACATTGAATCTGTGGCGTTTCTCGCGAGTAGATGAGTTCGTAGACATCTAATATTGAATGGATATGCATACAAGTACGTGCTTTGTACAGCGCTGATTTCAACATTCGTGTGTATAGACGCATCCATTCGGGTAAAGGTGTCTGGGTACACTTGTGGGCGAGTGAGCTTCAGAGTGGGCGGGCGAGTGTAAGTGGGCGCATGGTATAGTGCTAATACTCTCTTGTTGCCCGCATTGAACCCTTAAACCAAGCATACAACCGTGATTTGCACGATATCTGTGTCGTTAACACCTGTGGCACATAGAGGTCGTAATTGACTGTACCACACCCGTACATACCTTGATATCACCATCTCGTATCGATAACATCACACAACGGCATACCTGGGGTATCAGCAACGTTCGTGCGTACGTGCCCTGGAAGAAGAACGCAGCCGAGGTGACCAGCGCAACCAAGGCGGTGTGGAAATATGGGTTGACGAAGACCCGCACCCCTCGCCGTGTGAGGTAGCGCAGGGTATCAATCCATGCTGTGTGGCATTTGATTATAAATTAATTGTGGGGTTCAATTGGGATGTCTGAGATGGGTTAGAAATTCAGTACAGAGTGGCTATAGCGCAAGGGTTATCCCATGGTGAGTGAATTCTATTTCAGAGTCTTGTAGGGGGTTCGGAGATGGTTTAGCATAGATTTTATTATAGAGTAGTGATAGCGCAAGATGCGATTATGTCCTGGGTGGATCCAACTACAGTATTCAGTAGGGTGTAAGTGGGTTATAGTATAGTGAGTTAGAATGCAGTGGAAGATAGCGCCGAGAGGTACACCATCCTATGTGAACTAAGCATAGCGTTCATTTTGATGTGCTAGTTAGCGTCGTAATAGATTTAGTATGGAGTGCCCTGCAGTTTGGGGTGTGAAAAAAATATGGGCAACCAGCTGTAGTCTATACTACGAACTTTGTAATACAACGAATCTGCGTAGAGTTTGCAGTATGCGGTGTGAATAGAAAATAAGGAAATACAGCATCACAAACTATGCACAACAGTCGACAGATCACACATTACAAAAAGATGCGGAACAGCCGATGGCGCACACAAGAACACGCACACCACACACACCACATAACACACCGCGCACAGCTCAACCCTACGCACAATGGCCCCATACCTTGAATAGCCATACAGAAAACTACGCCCAGAAGGCCGCCAATCACTCCAATCAGCGCAAAGGCAAAGTACTCCACCCCATGGAAAGGGATATCGTCATAGACCAGATACAGCGCATTCGCCGGGAAGATCAGGTGCCGAATGAGCGATCCTGAAGAGAGTGACAAGTATTATATATATATATATATATATATATACATACATATATATATATATATATGTATGTGTGTGTGTGTGTGTGTGTGTGTGTGT